GAGGTTGGCCCAGGATCGGGCATTGTTTCATTCTGTTGTGCATGGGGTCGCTATGAGTCGGTTCCGACTCGATGGCACCTGAGAACAACAACAACAAATATACACACACACACACAAAGAGCCTCAAAATGTTTGTGGAAAAAATAGAATTATTCATTTGAATAATTTAGAAGCCCCCTCATATAATCATATATCCATACACACACAAGGGAATATTCTTCAGCCATAAAATGAAGTACCTGACACTTGGCACAACATGAACTAACTTTGGAATATATTATGCTAAGTAAATGAACTGGATCCAAAGAACAAATATTTTATGATCACACTTAGATGAAATATCTAGAACACACAAATGCATAGACAAAAGTTTTATTAGTGGTTGACAAGGGTGGGAGGGAGGAAGAAAGAGAGTTAGTGCTGAAGGGATACTGAATTTCTGTTTGGGGTAATGTAAAACTTTTGGAAACAGATAATGGTGACAGATGCAAAAAATAACTTAATTTAAATTTTTTTCATTAATTAAGCAATGAAAGTAATTAATGCCATGGGATTCTTGTTGCTAGATGCCATCAAGGTGGTTCCAATTCATAGCAACCTTATGCACAACAGAAATGATACACTGCTCAGTCCTGTGCCAAACTCAACAATTAACTGTTATGCTTGAGTTCACTGCAGCTGCCACTGTTAGTTCATCTCACTGGGAGGCTTCCTCTTATTTGCTGACCATTCACTGCCAAGCATGATGATATCCTCAAGGAAAGGCCCTTCCTGATAACGTTCAAAGTATGACAGAATACGTCTCACTAACCTGGCCATTAAGGAACATTCTGGCTATACTTTTTCCAACACAGATTTGTATGTTCATGTTACTTTTATTATTCTTCTCCAACACCATACAGATTCTTCTGTGGTCTTCCTTTATTCTTTGTGCAACTTTCACTTGTATGTAAGGCTACTGAAAATATCATGCCTTGGGTCAGGGCGCACCTTAGGTCTCAAATTGGGATCTTTACTCTTCAACATTTCAAAGAAGTCTTGTGCAGGAGATTTGCCTAATGCAATACATAATTTGATTTCTTGACTGCTGCTTTCATGCATGTTGATAGTGGATCCAAACAAAATGAAGTCTTTGACAACTTAATATTTTCTCCATTTATCATGGTGTTATTTATAGGTCCACTGGTGAGGATGTGTTTTCTTTACATTGAAATGTAATCCATACTGAAAGCTGTACTCTTTAATCTTCATGAGTAAGTATTCCAAGTCCTCTTCACTTCAAGCAAGCAATGTTGTATTATCTGGCAGTTATTAATGAGTCATCATCCAAAATCCTGATGCCACATTTTCTTCTTATAATCCAGTTTCTCAGATTATCTGCTCAGCATATACACTAAATAAGTAGGGTAAAAGGATACAATCTTGGCACAAACCTTTCCTGATTTTAAGCCACTCAGCCTCCCCTTGTTCTGTTCAAACAACTGCCTCTTGGTCTATGTACAGGTTCCTCATGAGCACAATTAAGTGTTCTGGAATATCCATTCATTGAAAAGTTATCCATAGTCTGTCATGATCCACACAGTCAAATGCCTCTACATAGTCAATAAAGCACAAGCAAACATCTTTCTGGAATTTTCTGCTTTTAGTCAAGATCCATCCCATGTCAATAACAATATCCCTCATTTCATGTCCACTTCTGAATCTGGCTTGAATTTCTCAGAGCTCATTATCAATTTACTGCTACAATATTTTTTAAATTATCTTAAATTACTATATGATATTAATAATATTGTTCAATAATTTCCACATTCTGTTGGGTCACTTCTCTTTGGAATGGGCACAAATATGGATCTCTTCCAATTGATTGGCCAGGGAGCTGTCTCCTAAATTTCTTGACATGGATGAGTGAGCACATCCAGCACTGATGCTGTTTGTTGAAACATTTCAATTTATATTCCATCAATTCCTATAGCCTTGCTTTTCAACAGTGCCTTCAGTGCAGGACTTTCTTCTTCAGTACCACTGGTTCTTGATCATATGCTACCTTTTGAAATGGTTGAACACTGACCAGTTCGTTTTGGTATAATGAGTCTGTGTATTTCTTCCATCTTCATTTGATGCTTTCTGCATCATTCAACAGTCTGCCCATGGAATCCTTCTAAGTCAAGGCTGGAAATTTTTCTTCTGTTCAGTTGAGAAATGCTGAGCGTATTCTTCCCTTTTGGTGGTCTAACTCCAGGTTCTTGCAAATTTCATTTTAATACTTGACTTTGTCTTCTCAAGCTGCCCTTTGAAATTTTCTGCTCAGTTCTTCTACCTCCTTATTTCTTCCATTCACTTTAGCTGTCTCTACGCTGGAGGGCAAGTTTCAGAGTCTCTTCTGGCACGCATTTAGGGCTTATCTTTCTTTTCTGTCTTTTTTTAAAATGACCTTTTAATTTCTTCCTGTATGATGTTCTTGATGCACCCCACAATTCTTCTAGTCTCCAGTCATTAGTCCTTAATGCATCAAGTCTGTTCTTGAGATGGTCTCTAAATTCAAGAGGGATATATTCACAGTCAGAAGCTCTGACAGTGTAGTGGTTATAAGTCAGGCTGCTAACCTCAAGGTCAGCAGTTCAAAACTACCAGTTGTCCCACGGGAGAAAGATGAGACTTTCTGCTCCCACAAGGATTTACAGCCTCGGAAATCCTGTACAGGGTTGCTATGAGTCGGAACCAACTTCTTGGCACATAACCACCACCACCAAATTAAAGGTCCTATTTTGGCTCCCATGTACTTATTTTAATTTTCTTCAGCTTCAGTCTAAACTTGTATATGAGTGAGTTGGCCTCTGGTCTTCTTTAAGCTGATGATATTGAGGTTCTCCACTGTCTTTTCCCGTGTTGTTGGTGGTGGTTAAGTGCCATTGAGTCTGTTCCGACTCATAGCAAGCAACCCTGTATAGGGTTTCTGAGGAGCAGATGAAAAGCTTGAACCATCAACCTTGTCATTCAAGCCAACATTGCAGTCCAGCTCATTAACCTGCAGCATCACACCAGGACTCCATCTTTTCCCATAGATGTAGTCAATTTGCTTCCGTCTGGTGAGACTGATGAGTATTTGTTGTTGTTGTTGTTAGGTGCCATCAAGTCGGTACCGACTCATAGCAACCTTATACACAGCAGAACGAAACACTGCCCAATCCTGGGCCAACCTCATTACTTTTGCCACACTTGAGTCCATCAATGCTGCCACATGTGTATGGTGGTGGTGGTTTTG